TAGCCCATGGGTGGCCTTTGGGCGGTCTTCAAGGTCCCTTCCCACCCAAACCCTTCCATAGTTCTATGTTCAGACGCCACTGGTGGGGCGCTGGTGCCGTGGTTCTCCCCACCCCGTAGGTATTGTCACGACCACCGAGGAGCCGTGGGCTGGAGCCAAAGCGCTGCTCCAGCCCGATTCCTCCCACAGAGCTGGAACGGACGCTCATGGAGGGAGGGCAGCACATATCACGAGTGCGTCCGTTCTCAGCCCGTCCTACCACACCAACAGGGTGACCCCGACCACCAGGCTCCCGTCCCCACCAGCGCCGGGTGATGGCCGACCCCGGCACGTACCGCACTGGGTGATGTAGTCGATGCAGCGGTCCACCAGCAGCGGCACGTCCGACTCCGTCAGCTGCTGCTCCGACAAGGTGTCCCCCCCGCTGCCCGCAGCCTTCTGGATGGCGTGGACCCACCCCAGGAAATCCAGTTTCCTCTCCCCCTGGATGTACAGCGTCCTGCCGGCAACGCCGGCCTCAGCCGGGGGGGAAGGTCAGCCACCCCCCACCCCCTCCCCACAGGACCCCCAGGAAGGACCTGGGGATGGTCCTGGCTCTGTTCTGGGGGTCTCCAGGCACTGTGGGGAGGGTGAAGGCACTCCAGGAGGAGGGGGATTTTGGGCAGGGTGTGATATTTTGCTGGAGGGGTCTCCCCCCCCACACACACACCCCTTCTGCTCTCACCTCCGCCGCTCCACCAGCACCAGCACCTCGTTGTCCCCCTGGATGGCTGGAAGGGATGGCAGAAAGCGCGTCACCCGCGGGGACACGGAGTTGTGTCATACCCCCCCCCCCAAAGCCCCAAAAAGCCCCAACGGGCCCGGCCCCACCCCAAATGGGACCAACAGCGACTTTCCAGGGATGGGGAAGAGGATGGATCCATGGAAGGACCACGGCAGCATCCACCCCACCGTCACCACCACCATCACCACCACCAAAAGCTGGGTGCTGCCCCCCAGCAGGACTTGGGGACCCCAAAGGGTGGGCTCAGGGACACGCACAGAGCTCCTGCAGCTTGCGCAGCTGGAGCGGGTCCTGCTGCTCGCCGTCCCGGCAGGAGACATGGAGCGCAGAGCCGGCCAGGGCGAACCAGCCCTCCTTGGCGCGCTCCAGGTTGAGGCCACCTTTGTAGTGCAACCGGCCTATGCGCTCAAAGTCCAGAGCCAGCAGCTCCTCGGCGCCGGGATGGATGAAGGACTGAGCCGGGGAGAAAAGGGATCTGTCAGCGCCGCGGCACCCACGGCCACCCATGGCCACCCAGGGACACCTACGACCACCCAAGGCCACCCATGGTCATCCATGGCCATCCGTGGCCACCTATGACCACCCATGGCCATCCATGGCCACCCATGGCAACCTATGGCCATCCACAGCCACCTAAGGCCACCCACAGCTACCCACAGCCACCTATGGCCACCCATGGCCACCCACGGCCATCCATGGCCACCTATGACCACCCACGGCCATCCACTGCCACACATAGTCACCTATGGCCACCTATGGCCACCCACAGCCACCTACAACCACCCACAGCCGCCCACAGCCATCCACGGCCACCCGTTGCCACCTACGGCCGCCTATGGCCACCCACGACCATCCACGGCCACCCATGGCCACCTGCAACTACCCGAGGTCACCCATGGCCATCCACGGCCACCTACGACCACCCACAGCCACCCACGGCCACCCACGACCACCTAAGGCCACCCACAGCTACCCACAGCCACCTATGGCCACCCATGGCCACCCACGGCCATCCATGGCCACCTATGACCACCCACGGCCATCCACTGCCACACATAGTCACCTATGGCCACCTATGGCCACCCACAGCCACCTACAACCACCCACAGCCGCCCACAGCCATCCACGGCCACCCGTTGCCACCTACGGCCGCCTATGGCCACCCACGACCATCCACGGCCACCCATGGCCACCTGCAACTACCCGAGGTCACCCATGGCCATCCACGGCCACCTACGACCACCCACAGCCACCCAAGGCCACCCATGGCCACCTACAACCACCCACGGCCACCCATGGCCATCCACGGTCAACCATGGCCACCTATGGCCACCCTAAACCCACCCCAGCCTACCTTGGCAATGCACTTGACCCATTCCCGAGCAGAATCGGGGCTCTCCAGCCCAAAAAGGTAGAGCCTCTCCGACTCGGTGTAGAGCTCGAAGGTGCTCTCGATGCTGCGGGAGGGAAAAGGGGAGAGTGAACGCCAACGGGTTGGGGGGCAGACGGGTCTGGGGAGGGGGGGAGAGGGGTGTCCTCCAGGGGAAGAAGGTCCCACCAGGTCCGCTGGTGCGGTTTGGGGTCCCACCACCGCGTTCCCCCCGGTCCTCCAGCATCCCCCAGCCGACGGGGAGCACAGGGGGTGCACGGGGCGGAAAGAGGGTGCAAAGGGGCTACAAAGGGGGTGCAAAGGGGCTACAAAGCAGTTGAAAAGGGGCTACAAAGGGGGTGCAAATGGGCGACAAAGGGGCTACGAAGGGGCTACAAATGGGGTGTAAAGTGGGTGCAAAGGGGCTGCAAAGGGGTTAAAAAGGGGCTGCAATGGGGCTGGGTTGGCAGATTGTAGCTAAAACACACATCAAATAGCATAAAGGGGGGAAAAGGGGATGCAAAGGGGTTACAAGTGGGGTGCGAAGGGGCTACAAAGGGGTTAAAAAGGGGCTACAAAGGGGGTGCAAAGGGGGTGCAAAGGGGCTACAAAGGGTCTACAAAGGGGTTAAAAAGGGGCTGCAAAGGGGTTCTAAGGGGCTACAAGGGGGTGAAAAGGGGCTGCAAAAGGATCTGCAAATGGGCTATAAAGGGGCTACAAAGAGGGTGCAAAGGGGCCACAAAGGGGCTACAAAGGGAATGTGAAGGGGATGCAAAGGGGTTAAAAATGGGCTACAAAGGGGCCACAAAGGGGTTATGAAGAGGTTACGAAGGGGCTGCAAAGGGGGTGAAAAGGACCTATAAAGGGGCTACAAAGGGGCTTCAAAGAAGCCACAAAGGGGCTACGAACGGGGTGAAAAGAGGCCACAAAGGGGTACGAAGAGGTTACAAAGGGGCTGCAAAGAGGCTACAAATGAGTCATAAAGTGGCTACAAAGGGGCTGCAAAGGGGTTACAAAGGGGTTATAAAGTGGCTACAAAGGGGTTACAAATGGGGTGCGAAGGGGCTACAAAGGGGCTACAAAGGGGGTGAAAGGGGCTACAAAGGGGCTACGAAGGGGATGCAAAGAGGTTAAAAATGGGCTACAAAGTGGCTATGAAGTGGTTACAAAGGGGCTGAAAAGGGGGTGAAAAGGACCTATAAAGGGGCTACAAAGGGGCTGCGAAGAAACCACAAAGGGGCTACAAAGGGGGTGAAAAGGGGCCACAAAGGGGTTACAAAGGGGCTGCGAAGGGGCTACGAAGGGTTCACACGGACTCCTTGCCACATGTGCGGAGGGGCCAGCGGTGCGGCTGGGGCCAGCAGCCCCCCATGCCATCCTCCTGCCCCATGCCCAGCCCTATCGGGGTGCT